ATTGTCTACGGGCAATCCTCGAACGAAGAAGACACATCGGCGAAGGGACGAGTGGTCAATTCGGAAAGGAACACTTCCAGGGACATCGAGACGTTGATGATGGGAATGCAATGCGAAGGGAAATACATAGCTGCATAACATGTAGATAAAGCCTATGCTTTGTTTGCAGCAGCGGCAGCCGCAAACTTCGCATCCTCCGCCGCAGCGACGGCGGGGTTGACCTTCTTCCCATCCTTCCACCGGACCCGCGGAGGCGGTGCGCGGTTCCGGCGACCCTCGCGTGAGCGGACACGGACAACTGCGGGGCGCGTTCAGCGGGACACTCTGGGTGAGGGCTACAAACGACTCACCATGGGAGTGGATAGCGCACGAGATGCAGTATGCAATTTTGTTGTATAGTTTCGGGATAACGTATTCTGCAGGGGGATGAGACAGCGGAACCGGGGCAGAGGCGGGGGGCGCAACAGACCTGCGTATACGCTAGCTTCGCTGATGTCCCGGACGGCGGCGCTCTCGACCATGTTTCTTACTGTGAATCTCTTGATGGCCTTGTCTTTGCCGACGCAGCGCGAGCAATTCGAGCAGCGCATGAAGGTAACATGCCCGCGCCCCTTCTTGTTGCGTCCTCCATTTCTTCTTTTCTTGGTCTAGAACGGCGCATCAGCATATCGTCTTTTTTTGGCGACATCCACGAAGAAAATGCCGCATCCAGCCGAGTTGCCAGTGGAATCCGGGGATTTTTGGCAGTCAGACGCTCGAGCGGGATACAGAGCAGTAGCAGGACATGACACTGACCATTTTGAGTGTCCTGACGACGTGGGAGGTGGGTCTTAGGAGAGTTCTGTGGATTTCCGATTTGGGAAATTTTGCTTCGCTCGTTTCGGATCGAATCGGATCAACTCGGAATTCCTGGATCCGGAGGTTTCCAGGTCTGAAATCGGTAATTGTCTGTCTTACCACCGATCATCAGCTTTTTTCCCACGATTTGTTTGTTCCTGCTTCCACACCTTCCCTCTTTCGACGAACTTCTTGACTTGTTCAGGCAATGCTCAGGCTATCGACTGGCTGATCCAAATACTGTAAATAATTGTACCGTAGCAACCACCCGGCCCACCGTGACACCATAAGCGGGTTTGGGCAACGCGACCAGCCCAATTTTCACTGTGACAGTTGAAATTTCGGCAACCGAAAAATTCAACATGAGCTAGATTTTGACTGTGGATGTGATTCTCAAGTCCAATCCACCATATAATGAATCAGGGGAGAGGTTTCAAGGAATTTTCGTCATTTCTCAAGGTCATTTTGGGCCAACAAATAATATTTTTTTGCATGTCACGGTATGAAGTTAAGCAACCAACCTCATCGTGACCGTGACCTAGGGAGGTTTGGGCAACGCAACCAACCCCGTCGTGACCGTGACGGTTGCTACGGTACAAGTATCCTGCAAGTATCTACAGTATTGAACTTTGAAGATCCATTCCAACCATGGACAGACCTTTCCGAGTCAGTGCCACGTCGTAACCACCTGTTTGCAAGTTTCAACCCATCGCAAACTTGAACCCGAGTCCCCGGCTCTCGGCCCTTTCCCAACCTGTCTCTCTTTCATCCAGTCTTCAACTGTTCCTGTACTGAAATATTCAGGCACACTGAACATTCTTGTACCATGTTCCACTCTTTCTATTCCTGCTACTTGCAACTTCGTCCTATTGAACGCTGCCAGTATACACCCTATCCAACCGCCAATATATCATCATTGGTGGACCCTTTTGCACGGGATGAGTCTCAGATGAGTCTCAGGCCTGTACTACTACTGGATCCCAAATAAATCCCGCAAGTGATCAGATTTTATTCAACGATTTGCTCTCGAGCACACCTTCAAGTTCCGGCCGAATTGATTTCTTAATGCCTTTCCATTGCGCGGCCGGAGGTGGAAAGCCACGATCTGAAACAGAGTGTACCATCTTAACTTCAATTCCTTTACATGTAATCTATTCCAAAACTACATTCCGGCAGACAGGTTGCCAACAACGATGTTGACCTAAAGCCATAATCCGGGACATTAATATTGTGCGCCATGGCCAATCTTCACTCTCGATTTCTTCAATGCCAAGGTCCGCCCGGAGGTAGAAACCAGTGCCCACGACATACTATTATTATTGCACCATCTTCTCATGATCGATTTAATTCATTGCTCAAGGGCTAAGACCATGGTCTGGACACTGGTCCACTGCCCGGCATACCACGTATGCGGAGGATCCAGGTGTGCCCGGAGGGCGTTAGTATGAAGGATCTGCGGCACCGTCTTCTCACGGCCAAGGCCTCAGTGCCGCCTCATTCCCTTCAACGCATTCTACTCGTGGACGGTAGACTCCTTCGTCCAGATACGAGTTGCGCCACAGTCTGCGACCTAATTGAACATAACCATAACGACCATGGAACTCGTCCACTAGAGACTCGAGAGGCGCCAAGAACTTAGAAGTCATTGTTCTACCTGCGATTCGTCTAGCGTTGATTCTTGAACGCTGTTGATATGGTCGTTAACCCGTCGTTGATGAAACCAGTAGCCCCTTCTCCAAGCCGGAAAATGTCTCTACACAGTTGATCTGAATGTTGATCCGTCGAGCTCTCAAGCCCTTACTCACAGTCTCTGCGCTATTCTCCCCTCCGCCATGGTGCACATGACATACATCCGATTTCTGCGCGACCAATGGGCCCAAATCCCGCTCATAAATGGAGATCTCTCCGCGCGCTCTATACTTCTTACCGGTGCAGGCAGCGGGCTGGGACTCGAGGCGGCAGCGCACCTTGCAGCGATGCGTTCCCAGTGGCTGTTTTTGACGCACAGAAACCTTGGGGGGTTCCAACCGGCTTTTGCGGCTCTCCGGAATGGCCCGTCCCAAACAATGCACCTGGATCTGACGTCTTTCGCGTCGGTGAGAAAGATCGCAAGCGAGGCCGGTGCTGCAAACATCGACACGTTCGTGGGGAATGCGACTCTGGCGACTCGAAACTTCGCGAAGACCGAGGATGGTTGGGAAACAGTGTATGCCTCCGCTTGTTGTTCCTCCGAAATAAATTCTGACAGCCTATTTGTGTAGACTCCAAGTCAACTACTTGTCCAACGCCCTGCTTTTTATCCTCCTACTCCCCCATTTAATCAAGAATTCGTCCCCCGATTCGCCTGCGCGCGCAATATTTCTCTCTAGTTATGGGCACCACTTTGTGAACACGTCAAAATTACCCAAAGGCAACTCCATCTTGAATTGCCTCAATGACCCTGCGTATTGCACGCCTGTGTAGGTCAGATATAAACCACTTGCCACCGATGTTTAAACTGGCACCAGCGTCATGAGAAACCGTTACGATGTATCGAAAAGTAAGTGCATTGATGTTTTCATGCATGTTAAAATATACTCAAGGGGTCTACACCTCTGCTAGTCATGGTCGCCGACGAGCTCGCATCCCGTCTTCGCCACAACACCCCAATATCGATAATGAGCGTCAACCCAGGATTCTGTCACTCCAGACTCACCCGCGAAACCGAGTCCACGCCGTTCGGAAAACTGGTGGTTGGGTCGTTCAAGCGGCTTGTGGCGCACCCGACGGAAGAAGGGAGCCGTACAATCGTACATGCAGTGGCGACACCAGACCCCAGGAGATTCCACGGGCAGTACATCACGGGATGCCAGATCGCAGGCAAGAGCGACTTTCTCGCGACATTGGAAGGCCTGCAGTTTAGAGCGGCGCTTTAGGTGCGCCCCTTCTACTCTCCGTTTTGCCCGAACTGATAGTGAAACGACACAGCGAGAAACGATTGAGGTGTTGGGAAAAGCCGATCCGCGCGTTGGCGACATTATAAAGGCACATTTGGACTGTGAACAGTGATGATGTAAGCGGATCCCACGGTTGAGTCAGAATTGAACCAAGGAATATTTCAACCGTGCTGTTCGAAACACGGTGTCTATCTGTGTACAAGTTGAAGCCTTTTATGTTTGAAAGTTATTCAAACTCCTCATACGTGAGAAAATTTCAACCGTACTGTTCGCAACGCGGTGTCTATCTCATGTAATGTGTTTGAAGCCTTTTTCTGTTTGAAATTTATTCGCACTCCTCATACACGGACCGCGACTATTATTCCCGTCACCGAATACTCTGAGTTGCCCCAGATGCATTTCGATTCCGCCAAGTACTACTATTAGAAATTGGGAACCAGGTACAGGGTTCCCCACTAACAAAAACTAAACAGATCGTATGAGAATATCTGACGTGTACAGGTCTGGGCGCCGTCTAAGGAGGTCTAGGACTTCAGCGGCATTGTCGAAGAAGTGATCCACGATGCACCGCCACTGACGATGTGTAACGTCTGTTAACGTGCATCTAGTATCCCCGAGTAACAACTTTTAATTATCCATCCTGGTGCTGATCTCGCGAAGCCTTTGGAGTTCCAATGCCAGGGCGTCTTCAAAGTGGTTCAACGGTGATCCAATTTGGCGATCCTAGTTCCCCAAACGACATCGCGCCATTTTCTCAGTTGTACAAATCCTACGCTGCCCAAGATAGCCACCTAGAGTATTGGTCACCATGGTTCAGTGGTTAAACTGGCACCTAAAGATTAAGTTCGAAGGCAGGGAGTTCCGGGTTCGATCGCTGGAGGTGCCGCGGTGGAGCCGGACCCGGGATTTAATCAAGCGTCCGCGTCGGGACTTCGGGGGCGTTCTCCTGGTGTACAGGCTGGTCTCGGATGGGTTTTTTTATGTCCTTGAACCTCCTAACCTCGTGCGTGGTTCAGAAAAAAAACGGATTTCATCTTCGCAATTGCATCGCCACGATATTTGAAGCGAAGTGCCCAACTTGATTGGAATCTAATATGCTTTGAACGACAAGTTGAATAAATATTTCTGGAACGCCTGTCCTAGTGTATACAAATACTGTTTGCTCCAGGAAAACGGGATCTCAGCCGCTGGCACCTGGTAATAGTAGGATGATACCAAAAGAGTAGTGACTACCATAGATTAGTGGTTAGATCGCCGGCCCGAGATTAATTTCAACGGCGGGAGGCCGGGGTTCGAATCCCTGTAGTGTCACCCTGGCGCCGTGCGCGGAGTTTCTTCAGATCCCTAGTCGAATAAGTGAGCGTTCGCGAACCTACAGCATTCCCAGATGCCCACCGAACTGAGGCTAACCATAGTTTACCATGGCATCTTTTTAAAAAAGTTCCCAGTGATTGAATTGGAAAATTGTCCAGATATTTACCCGATACCCAAACTTGACTTAGAACCCCCTATGATTCATGAATGAAGGAGGACAGCGAAGTGAACTGATTCTCAGCATGATTGTCGATCCGTACTGCCACTGACGCGCCAACAATCCCCGTGGGGAGTCACGACGCCTTCTTTGATGGGGCCGCAGATCTCCGAAGATCTATCTAAATTAATATTGAGCAGAGCCGTTCAAACTTGCATCTTCAAGCATGGTGGGCTTCACCCGTATATCCGGGGTGCTGGTTGTAAAATTGTGCGAGCTCTTGCCAGTCACTAGAGGCTGAACGTCCGCGAGAGATAGCTAGTTGTACTATCCGGCGTAATACTGGGTTTCAGTGGTCACAGTGCACACACTTTTATTTCTTCGTCGACAGCTTGAAGTGAGCGTTGGTGTATTCTTCAGAAACGTCGAGCAAAATCTCCACCGAAACTCGAGGTTTAGTTTGTATCTTGAGCTTGAGGGTACGTGTCACTGCATATATTAACTGATAGTCAAAACTAGTAAACACCTTCCGGTGAAAATCCTAGCGCGTCCACTTTCGCATACATATGTACAACACAACGTACAAAGCAACCAGCAATCAGAAATCGAACTCGAATCCATACGGTGATTTTCCTTTAGTATCCTTCACCCACTGAGGCTCCATGCCGAAAAATTCCACCAGCCTTTTCATCTGGACCTCATTGGGGTAAGGGCTAGCCGGCGCAGGGAAGGGATTTTTGCGATAGGCAATCGCTACAAGATGGAACCGCTTTCTCGCCCTGATACCACGCAAGTCGCTACCACGCAACGGATCCACCAGGTAAATATATTCGTAACGAGCCACTTGTCTGGTGATACTCCATACACACGCAGTCTCCTACCCACCCTCTTTCTCGCCCTGATACCACGCAAGTCGCTACCACGCAACGGATCCACCAGGTAAATATACTCGTAACGAGCCACTTGTCCGGTGATACTCAACACACACACCGCTTTCATCGTCGGGCTCGGGTTCCGCGGAAGAAACACCTTCTTTGTCTTGTTCCGCTTCTTGGCGCTGTAGTAGTGTGCCAAGTCAACGGCCGCGAACCATCTTTCAGTAACGGGAAATCCGAGGAATTTCGTATGGAGTTTTTTCTCCTACCGTATACATTTAAGTAGTTGAGAGGGTCCAGCGAGGCTCACAGACTTACTGGCACGGTTACGGTGGCTCGCTCCGAGTCCGAGACAGATTCGAGTTGGTCGGACACAGTTTGCCAATCCATCAGCTAAATAACTTTAAGGAGGTTAACCTTTACGTATTGTACGAAACCCGTACCGATGAACAGTGTTTTCATTTGAATCCGTTCCCACCACCACTAGTTCCGAGTGCTGAATTGGAGCCGGGGTCCGGTCCAGATCCATCAGCTAAATAACAATAGCAAGGAGTAAGGCGATTGAAGTTTGGGTATTGTACGAAGCCCGTACCGATGTGTTTTCATTTGAATCCGTCCCCACCTCCGAGCGCTGAGTGGGAGTCGGAGTCCGGTCCAGATCCATCAGCTAAATAACGACAAGGAGTAAGGCGGTTGACGTTTAGGTATTTTAAAAAACCCGTACCAATGTGTTTTCATATCCTTTTCCGCCACCGCTAGTTCCGATGGGAGTGGGGGTCCGGTCCAGGTCAGCTTGTCAAGTATTGCAGGTGGTGGAGGAGTCGTTGATTCCGGCTGCCACTGCGCCAGTGACAGGAAATGATGCAGTGGCCCTGAATACCGGTCAGGTTTAGGCGGTGGCGGTCGTCCATGGCTCGTACCGATGTGGTTGCGTTTTGGTTGCGTTTAGGTTGAAATTCGGGCGGGACCGGCGAGCCTGACGCGAGCACGTGAGTAACGTCACCTTGACTCACGAGTCACGACTACTGCGTTCAAGTCCAACCGATCCAAGCATTACCTCCGCTATGATGAATTCGAAGTCAACGCTCAAATTCTGTGTGGTCAAGGAGCCGGGGATATATCCTACTTGGTAGGCTTCCTCCCTTCAAGTTGTTCCTCCCTAACATACGCTTCTGAACCTTACACCACAAGTGATGAATGTCATGGCCGATTCACAGCATCATCGGGCACCCTGCCCAAGTGTTTTGATACCAGGGAAGCTGCCCAGGCCTACATGGATGGAAAGGAAAACGAAGCGCCTCTAACGCGCAGCGGGGCGATCGCATCGGACTCCTTTGCTGTCCCGGATGTCAAGGAGAAGAAACGGAAAGTGCCCGATGACGATACTCCAGATGACAGTGGAATTGGAGACTCGGAGGACGTGGTATACAGTGACGGGGCGTGTAAAGGCAATGGCCAAGGCGCTACAGTGGCGAAGGCAGGGATCGGGGCGTGGCGGGGCCCAGGAGATCCGAGGTGTGTCTTTCTACCTATTCCCTCGCGCAGTGCCACCTCACACGGCCAAGAAACATCGCAGAACGATGTCCCGGGGACCAGACGAACAACCGAGCGGAATTCATTGTGCGTATTGAAGACTTTACTGTCTCTGTCTATCTCACGCTTTCTGCAGGCCATCATACGGATTCTGGAAGTGACGCCTCAAAGTCAACAGACCCTGCGGATAAAGACAGATTCACAATATTGCATAAATTGTGCGGTGGCCTCGTTTCGAGGGTATAAGTAATTCTAACCGAGTTCAGGTGTCACGGTATGGCTTAAGGCTGGATCAAGAACGACTGGAAGAAATCCAATGGCAAACCTGTGGAGAACGCTCCCTTGATCAAGTACCTTGTGGCTCTGTTAGAGACCCGCGCACACCGCGGCCAACAGGTGCGGCTGCAGCACGTTAAGGCACATACCGGTGTTGCCGGAAATGATGGCGCCGATGCGCTGGCGACCATCGGGGCGTCCATGGCACAAGAGGAAGACAAGGACTGGGGACGATTGGAACGCGAGGTGGAGGAACGGCTCAAGGCGGAATTGAGCGCCAGCCCCGATAGGCCGCGATATCTGGCGCTGCAGGTAGTCGAGAAAGATGGCACGGTGAGCGACTTCGGACTCGGAGAGAGGCCCGCGAAAAGGCCAAAGACGTTGGCGTCGGCGACCCCTGGCAAGCCCAAGTCCACGTCGATGGAGATCGCAGAGCCACTCGCAGGTCCAGCCGCTCCGCCAGCTCTTGGCTCAGCGCCGCCGCCGAAATGGTCTGCGTCGCAGACTGAGATTACCCCCAAGGTGAGTTGATTAATTGCTGCTGCATGTTTCTCTCGAATAGTCGAATTGCCACTTATTTTTCGCCCGCAAATTCCAGGACTTTGCGGAATATGCGGATTGTATGTTAGATGACGATGAGTTGCAGGCTGAGCTGAGCAGGTAGTAGAAAGAGCCGGAATTTTTGTAACTATATATAATTCCCTGTAGTGTAGGAAGTGTACGTACTAGCGTCGCCGTGCCGTGATTGTCCGAGTCTGATCACTCTCCGATGTCTTCTCCAGCCAACATGGACCGTGCGGTCGCGGTGCCTGTGCACAAGCTGCTCGAATCGCCGACGTCGCGGGCGATCCAAGTCCACGATTGGACCGTCACTGTCTCGACGCACCCCATCTCCAATGCGCACGACTGCGATGCTCTTCACGCCGAACTGGGCTTTCCTCTGCCAGAAATGACCTTCGGGTCCAACTTTCTCTCGCTGGAGCATCGTCCATCCAAGTGGAAGTACGAGTTTGCGACCCCGGACGCGCTGCACGGCGTCAAAAACGGCGAACTGGGCGCGGGCGACGGCGGCGTCAAGGTGGGATACGCCGACGCGTGGCTCAAAAGCCGGTAATCCCCTCCCTGTCTCTCCCACTCCGCCGCTCACGCGTGCAGCACGAACCCCGCGTCCGCGCTGCCCATGCCCAAGACCGTCCCGACGAAGCCGTATGACTGGACGTACACAACGACGTACGCGGGCCATCCGGGCGTCTGGACACCGCCCGACGACGACGACGACGCCGCGGGATCCGAGGCCGGCTCACGCCCTGCAACCCCCGTGCTCGAGGACCCGCCGCGGCCGTGGGACTGGGCGCCCGCCGATCCGGCCAACCCCGCGCATGCGATCCCGCTCGCGGAGCTCACGCGGCCCGACCCCATCCTCTTTTACGCCGAGGTCCCCCTGTTCGAGGACGAGCTGCACGATAACGGCTCGTCGCATCTCCTCGTCCGGATCGTACGTGTGTCCCCGCTGTCCGTGGATGCTCGAAGTCTAAGTGACCGTAGCGTGTGATGCCGACGTGTCTCTTCATCCTCGCGCGCTTCACGCTGCGCGTCGACAACGTCCTGTTCCGCACGCACGACACCCGCGTGTACCACTCGTTCGCGAGCGCGCCGCCGCTGGTCGTGCGCGAGACCAGCGGCTGGGAGGCCCCGTACGACCGCGTCAAGGGCGTACGTCTCGTGCTCCATTTCCATTCCCGCTGACTTACGCCCGTCGCAGACGCTTCCACGCCGTGACGACCTGACGCCCCTGACGGACCCGACCTTCATCGCCAAGGTCCTCACCAGCATGCCCCGCCAGACGTCCCAGCACGACGGCGCGCACACCGGCTGGCGCGGGCTCGGCACCACGCTCCAGGTCGCGGTGCTCAACTAGAAATGTATATTCAATAAATTCTTGTACAGTACGCCCGCACACATTGGACCGTGTTACCGCCTAATTTTTCGGCCATACTCCCATATTGCAATGCCGTCTTTTAACTCCGCCGCGTCTGGAATACCTGCTACCAATATGGCATCGAAGATGAGCCACATGAAGGCGTTACGCGCCTGGTTCACAACTTTGACCAGGGTGCCCCGAGATGAAAATTAGAACATTCCCGACGCCGGAGAGAACCGACAACTACATCCGTAGGGTAAAGTTGGGGCAAGGGCGATTTAAATGCGACAGAAAGGGAGTTCGAGAAACAGTCGCCTCGGCTTTTGCTCGCCCGGTTCAAAAACAACTCTACTTTGACAAGCTCCTCATGTCCCCAGACGAAATTGGAACATTCCCGACGCCGGAGAGAACCGACAACTACGCTCGTAGGGTAAAGTTGGACAATGCCAGTGACGACTTATCTGTGAGAGATGGCGACACGGCCGGTTCGAAAGACAGTCACCTCTTTCTTTACCAACGTCCTCATGCCCCGAGACAAAATCTAGAACATTCCCGGGGAGAACCGTCAACTACATCCTTTGGGTGAAGTTGGGGCTTATGCGACAGAAAGCGAGATAGCCCGTTCGAAAAACAGGCGCCTCTTCCTTTACCCACTTACTTTGACCAGGCTAGACGAAAATTAGAACCGCGAGAACCGCCAACCGCATAAAGTTGGGACAAGGGCGATTTACATGCGACAGAAAGCGTTCGAGAAACAAGACGTGGGATGCGACCCTCTAAGTGCGCCTCCGGTTTACCTACTGCACAACCCATGACGCGGACTCGCAGAGCTCCGTGGTACGTACATCTGTTTCTCGAAACTCTCAATCGCACTATAAGTAACAGGAATCCGTCTACAGCCCCTCAGCCTCTCCCCCACTCGCCCCAATGCCCGGCTTCAGCAAGGACCGCTTCCGCCTCGCAGGATTCTTCCCCGCCCCGGCGCACCTCTCCAGGGCCGAGTTCAAACACCACTTCGAAAAGCTCGTGGACGCGATCGTCGCGTCTTCCGTGGGCCAGAAGAATATCCTCCACTACGATCTGGTATGGCATCTACTATCAGAGCTGTCGGCGCGTCCGTTCACAGGTAGTATGCATCTCCCAGCTGTTTTCGAACAACGATCTGGACAGCCACACCAAGGAACTGGGATTCAACGAAACCCCGCTCGCCGCTGTGATCCTTGTGGAGACTCAGGTTCGCGTGCTGCCTTTCGAGCGACACTGTCCTCACTGTATATTATTCACGCCAGACGTACGAAGGCATGCAAGAGGTACGCTGTCCTAGAGGTCCCTAGCAGCGAATACAATCACGGATCCGCCCAAGATTTTGCACGACCCGCTTTTCCGCCAGATCTTGGCTGGGCACAACGGGAAACTAAACTTTACCTCGGGACAAGTGTTCACGGGTGAATTGCTCGGAAAGGTCGCCAAGTCGAGGCTGTGATGCGCGAGTTTTCGTCGGAGTTTGTGATTTTATGAAAGCAATTGTACTACTATGAGGGCGATTGTACTACTAGTTTCAAAAATGAATCATTCAGCCCCGGACTTAGCCCAGCAGGCAAATGAACCCGTTTTTATAATAAGTACAAGAGCGCGCCGGGGCGCTCCGCGCCCCGGCACTTCGCCGGAGGCTGCCCGTAAGGCGGCCGTTGACTGCCGCCGGTGATTACCGAGCGGAGTTTCAAGGCTTCAGACAACGCAATTTTATAAAGAGAGAGACTACGGATCAATTTTCCTTTTGAGCAATTCACAGAGCCGAGCGAATATGCAGATCTATACTTCTTCAACCGTGTTGAACACTCGGTGTCCCGCCGCGTGCCTGGACCTAACTCTTTTTCGTTCCCAGATTACGCCTTTCAGATTCAGATGCTTGACCGGGAAACATGGAACAATGGAATCCCTAATGAAGTACGCTTTCCGAACAAGACGGATGAAATAGTGATAGCCGGTTAGAAAGAAAAAACATAGTGTGAAACCCAGCATTTGCGCCCGATATTGCAACTGGCTGTGTTCTCTTGCGAACGCTCAACTTCTAGTGACAGAGGGTTTAATCTCACCCAGGCCGGATCGGAATTTGTGACCACCACGGGGAATCGAATCCCGGGCCCGCCTTTGAAATCAAGCTTTGGCGGGAGTTTAACGTTCAACCACCGAACCATAGTGGCAACATCATATGACATACTCTGGGTGCCTTACTCCGTAAAGGACTTGCATGAGTGAGCATGCCGCCAAGAGCTTGCCAAGAGCTCGCACCAGCAGGAATCGAGATCACCAGCTACACGGAGGAAGTTAAGCTGAGGGAAGGGCTTGAACACCTTGAATACACTTATCCAGGGCTTCTTCTTCGACTATAACATTGTGTCGCAACCTGTTCCCATCCCCATTACAGGTGTGTAGGCGGCTAGAGTTTATCATGAACAGTAACCCTCTGAAATCCATCACCATCCTCATCAACTCAGACTATTAGGTGACGGGGATAATATTATAAGGAGTGCAAATAAGTTTCAGACAGAAAGGGCTTCAACTTGTTCAGACATGAGATAGACACCGCGTTTCGAACAGTACGGTTGAAATATTCCTTGGTTCAATTCTGACTCAACCGTGGGATCTGCTTACATCATCACTGCTCACGCGCTCACGGTCCAAATGTGCCTTTATAATGTCGCCAACGCGCAGATCGGTCTTTTCCCACACCTCGATCGTTTCTCGCTGTGTCGTTTCACTATCAGTTCGCGAAAAAAGGAGAGAAGAAGCGGCGCACCCGAAGCGCCGTTCTAAACTGCAATGTCGCGACTCGGAAAGTCGTTCTTGCCAGTGTACGTGAGAAAATAAAGCAATGCCGTTTTGAGAGAACGAGGATTTCTGGTATTGGACGGCCCCCGAAGAACCCAGAAGAGGCCCTGGCATTGATTCCGTTGAGACTCGAGTTCGCGAGATCGCATCAGGACGTATAATTCAAAGTTACCCCGTGGGGATAGATTTTGAGCGTTGACGCGTCGTCAGTGGCGGTGCAGTGATCACTTGATCGCCGCGTTAGAATCCTCTTCAGCGCTCCGTCGCAACAAAATGGTGACCGTACACCAGGCTATGAGAAACGCTGTGCTTTAAGAGCTGAAAAAAACCGAACCATCGTCCTCCTCGCCTTCCTGGCCTCCCCGACGGCGACTGGGACCCGATTACTTACGACGAGCCCGCAAAATCTGCGCCAGAGATCTCCGGACTGCCCGACACGATGGAAATCAAAGGCAAGGCGATCTTCCACCTCGGCCTGATCCTCTTTATCGTGGATGAGCTCCCAGGGAAGCCGCCGGGCTTTTCCAAGGTGCGAACGTCACGCTTAGCGTCGACGCTCGCGATTGACGCCCTCGACAACTCGCTTAGAGCGTTTCCGTTTCCGCGTGCATCGGCGCGGAAGATATATCCTCAAGAAATTCGTTTCCATTATTCATCCGAGCGCGGTCGACAATGTCGGAAAACTTGATGGGAGGTTCTTTGCGTTCCTCGGAGCCGTCTGGGAGAAAACCGGGCGCGACACCAGCCAGCTCACTGACTGGTTTTATACACTACTCCAACTGCTTGCAAAGATAGCTACTGCCGCATACGTCCAGCAGTATGCCCGCCGTATTTCGACTCAATAAAACTTTTAACACAAATCTGATGCAGCCAGGGACTTCAAACCAGCGAGGGCCCGCAGCTGCGGTCAGCTTCGACCGTGGCACTAACTATCCCAAGAGAGCCTCGTCAAGTATTTTCACCGCTAATTTATGCCACGAAGGTCCTGAACATCTTTAGAGCTCACCTTTCTGCGAAACCTGCGAAAGGTGCAGAGGCAGCTCAGCTCCGAGTCTGCAACCTCAACGGCTACTAGCGAAGAGTTTAATTTCAGTGTGCGGTTCCTCATTTACTACCCACTAGCATGAACCCGTGCTACGCACGGCCGTCGGCGATCCGCAATCAAGGATTCGGAAGTCCGGTCGGCAGGAGGACGCAGATTCAGAACATGCGTGCTTTCAAGCCCTACGCTCTGGAGATCACTCGTGCTACCTGTAGGCTGTAGGTATGTACTGGAAAACCGATGTCATAGTACCCAAAAAAAATGCAAGGCTCCCCGAACTCGTAGTCCCCGAAAGATTGAAGTCTCCCTGCGCTCGTGGTGGGTAAGTACCTGAAAGACAAAAGCCTCCCTGCACTCGTAGTACATATCTGAAAGCTTGGGGTCTCCCTGCACTCGTGGTATTAGCTTAAAGATTAAAGGATCCCAGCATTCACTTCGTCCTGCACTCGTATGCCGGCACGGGCTCAAAAGATTGAGTTCCTCTGCACTCGTATTCTCTGAAAAATTGATCTCCCCACTTGATTCACCTTGCACCCGTGTTATCTGAAAAGTTTTGGAAAGACTGAAGCACCCCGCACTCGTGGAGTCTGAACAATTGAGATTTCCCTGCACACATGTTATCCTAAATATTTGAAGTCCCCAAGAAGTCCCTGTGCACCCAGGGCGGAAAACATTGAATTCAGTTCGGTCATTGCAGGCATTATCAGAAGCGAGAGAACAAATAGAGCAAACCTGAAGAGCATGGGGAGAAGGACAGATGTGTGCGAGCAGATGCGCAAATGTGTGCCCGGCAAAAAAGTGGCTGGAAGAAGGACGGCTGTGATCAGAACGGAGATATTTGCCGGTCCCAGCTCTTTCACTGGCAGGCGTCATTGCAGGCAAAAAATATTTCATTAGTGTAGTATGCAGAACACGTGGCTTACTCCAGCCAGCTAACGAAGCAGAGAGAAATAGCGTGAAGCAAGCGCGAAGCGTGCGTAAGTATATGTAGGCGTGTCCGTGTTGTCAATTTGCGATGGGTCAGAGACGTCGCGGTGGTGTCAAAGTTGTCCGTAGGGTCGTGGGTGTCAGAATAACCAGAAAGACACGACAGAGAGCGCGTTGGCGGGCGAGAAAGACGTGATTCGGTGTCCAGGAGAGCGAGATCATTGTTTGTCCGCGCGTGGTCAAAGCCCACGGATAAATCTGATTGGACAGTAGAAGTCCTTATGTAATCCTTGTCCTTTGTATAAGTAGATTGGTCCGCAACTAAACCCACCACCAGGAGCTCGGCCTTGCGCTGGTATGCAGCATATATATCCCCAGGTACGTGCATAGTTTACAGCGGCCTTGTAGAGCAATCCTTTCGGCCCTGGCTTAATGCAATATGTGAGCCAATTAGAGGTCGAATTGCCCTTGATGCCAGCGCTGGTGGTACGATTACCCTCATCTCAGCATATGTCGATATCTGACGCGATAAATAGGACCACTGGCAGCAGCAGGCTCGCCAGCCCTCCTCGCCTTGGACGAGCTCCGTCGAGGGCGTTCTCGGCACGCGAGGCGTCGGCGGGTCGGAATCACTCAGGCTTCAGGTACGTATTGCTACCAGATATAATTTCAAGCTTTTAACCGTCACATTACAGACGTTGGTGTCCAGGCGCTCGTTGTCTGTTGATCGTCACTTTCGCTTTCAGAGCCCCGCGAGCGAGGGTGGTGGTATCGGGAGAAGCAGCTCCTTGCTCCCTGCAGTCGACTTCGCGGTACGTCACGAAACTCTTACCATTTTGTCTGGAATCCTCACACATTCAACCTAGATGCCGTCCACCCCGCACTCGCCCGTTACCCTTCCGCCGGGATCGCGAGTCCCAACCTCTTCATACCCGCGTGGGAGGTACGTTACCCTCCGCCGTAATTCATATATTCCAACTAGATTTTTGCCAGAGGACTGTCTGTTCCTCCTGCCAGCAAGCGATTCCTGCCCTGCAGGTAATGGTTCCCTCTCTCATGGTGGTATTTGCGGTGCCGTGCTGACCCTATTATGTCAGATTGGAGTCTCTGAGTCGCCCCGCGGTCGTTTGGTGCGTAGTCGCCCCCGATCCCGGTACTGGTCTGATCCATTTTAGGCACGCGACACCCCTAAATTCCGCCGCCCTCTGACGCCGCGCAATGGGTTGCTCGAAGCGTCTCCCAGCTCAAGCCTGAGGACGCCGGAAGTCCAGGTGTTTCACTCACTGGTGTCGACGCCGTGATTGTGCTCATTTCATGCCCTTCGGTCTACGTCTGACCTCCACAGGTTCCGTTGATTTATTTGTAGAACTTGCATTTCGCTCGTAGTACGCTCATCTTATGTCTTTGGTGGTCTGTGTCTGATGTCCTCCAGTTTTCTCTAGCATACTGTAAACCTCTCTTTTTCAAAATCACTGTATGTGTACAAGGTGTCCACGTCGAGTTTCGACGGCGCCAGCGGTGTATGACTTATATTACAATTGTGCGTAGTACACGAATGAGAGTGAGTAGTGTGTCTGTCTATCCGATCCAACAACAAAAATCTAGCAAGTAAATCATGAAATTAACTGATTACCCGGACGTCGCCAGCGAGGAGACCTTGTGCCGCAGACGCAGGTGCGACGCGTCGCCGTCAAGGTCGATGTGGCGAAAGTACATGTCCATGTCGCGCATATCAAACTCGGACGGCGAGATGGGGACCTCGGCCTCGGGTTCCACCTCGGGGGCGGCGGGCGGCTTCGCGGACGCGCCGATGCGGTACGTGCGCCGCCGGCGGCCCTTGCGCGCGACGGCGGCGCCGACGGCGGGCGGGCGCGGGGGGCCGCTGCGGACGGCAAAGTGCGAGAGGGAGCGCGTGTAGGGCGAGAGGGTGTGGTTCGAGTGGGAGAGCATCGCGAGGGCGTGGACGGAGTGTGCCGTGAGGGGCGGGGGGTCGTGGAACGAGGAGGGCGGGGTAGAGAGGGAGAGGGAGTGCGAGGGCGAGGGGGACGTCGAGCGCGAGGAGGGGAGGGAGGGCGGCGAGGCGAAGGCGGCGGAGAAGGGGTTGTGCGGGAGCTCGGGGCGCGGGTGGGAGAGGGGTGGCGGCGGAGTGGATTGGTTTTGCGCTTGGGGGTGCGACTGCGAGTGGTATATCCGGGGCCGCAGGATGGTGCCGCCGCCGACGGCGGGCATGCGCTCGTACTCGGGCTCATCAGCTGCGAAGCTGCCGACGCTGGGCGGGGCTGGGGCTGTCTCCCAGTCCAGGATATCGTATGTACCCTCGAGGTCATCCGCCACGGACGACTCCTGCTCGGATTCCGCGAGGTCTGCAAGGCCGCGTGAGGGGGAGAAGAGGCTCTTGAAGCC